TGCGTCGTTTATTTCACAAATTCGAGTTTTCAATTTTAATTTTGTTACAATTAAAAATTTTCACAAAAAGCCACATCTAATTTTTTCTACTATAGTGAAAAGTTATCACATAAAATCACATGTCAACTAGAATTGAAAACTCGAATTTGCGAACTGAACGAGACCTTAATCATCACAACTTTGTATTTTCAAATTCTTTTAAAATTAAATTTTTTTTTACAACTTTCAAAGTTTAACAATTATGATAAAAAAAATAAATTTAGCATTTGATGTGACATTAGTATAGAGGTACAAATGAAAATAACATATTCTAACATATTTTTAATACTAAATATATAATTAGCATTAATATTTACATTAGAGATGGTTTAACATACATAAATGGGTCACAATGTGTGATTAGTTGAACTTAAGTATTAACCTATTTTAATTTCGTTCACCGTTAAATATTTCAATATTTTTTTCTTTTTTTTGTTTTTCATAAATATATCTTTCATATATGTTACCACATAAGTAATTTTTTTTTCTTGTAATCCTTTAAAATTTTATTGTATGCACGTATCCAAAAAGGACAAAAAATTAAACAAACAATGCAATTCCTTTCTAGCGTGTTTAATTAGTTAGCAATAAAATCTTATGGGCATAGACTATATACGTGTGAAATTAATCAAAACCTCAAATAAAAAGTAATATCACAAGACACCGGTGTTTTAACACTACGGACTAATATAATGTGAGTTTTGCGTGTAGAACTCAGAGGTAAAACTTATTTTCTATTTGTGATAGTGGTTAAATTGTCGGTGTCCTTAAACATTTTTCTCAAAAACAAAAGATTAGCAAATGAAGGTTGTGTTTGGAATTGATCCCGTTTTATTTTTTACGTTTTTTGAGGGAAAAAAATGAAAACGTTTCTAATGATGTTTGGCATAATAAAGACAAAAAACAGAAATGAAAATGATTTTATAATTTAGTGTAAAATGATAGAAAAATAAAAAATAATTTTTAATCATTTTTTATTTTTTATTTTCGTTTTCTCCTCTCTCAAACTGAAAGAAAAAAAAAGAAATATTAATGAGTTTTTTATATTAAAATAATTTATTAATTAAACTACTAAACATATTTTTTAAAATTATTTCAGTCTAAAATTAAAAATATTTTTATTTTTATTTTTATATAAAAAATAAAATTATTTTAAAACAAATTTTAAACGTATAGAAAAAGAACAGCGGTAGTGAACAGAAGGGTAAAATCCAAAAAGGAGTAAAGGACATTTGACCGTACTAAAACCTGAATCCAATTCTCTAGGAAAGATCGCCAAAGTCCCTCAAATTGCAGGGTACCCCTTTTCCCAGGCCACGCATAAATATATGATGACATGACCAATTCTCTCATGGCCGTTACTAAACAATTCAGAAAACAAGATCCGCACGTCAGAATTGGGTCCCACACCATTTACGCCCCCAACTGGGCCCTACCCCAAGCTTGGACTGTCCCTTTTCTCTGCCTCTAGCCACAGAGCCACTCCCCCATCTTTAATTGCCCTTCCTACTTTCTAAGGGCCTTCCCTCCCACAATTAATACACACATAAGCATTTTTATTCTTTATTTCACTAATTTAATTTAAAACTCGTTTAGTTGAAAAATTTATTCTCTAATTTGAATTATAATTTATTATTTATTATAGTATTTTTTTTCATAAAAAATACACATAAATTAAAAATAATTCTAATCTCATAATTCTAATCCATAAATCAAACGGGAGTTAATTTAATTTAATGTAAACAGTGAGTACCGTTTAATAAGTATATAATTAAAATTATATTCTCCGTTTTAATTGAGTTAAACGACTCAATTTAATGTTTAATTTTCCCTTCAAGTTCAATCGTTCAGATCATTTTTGAACAGTAAAAAGTGTTTACTCTTTTTACTTTTCACGCTTACCAAACACAAATTTAAATTTTCTTCTATGTTCAAATTAAAACTTTAACTACACATTCAAACGTCAATTCAAACTACAATTTAAACCACACAGTTTGATTTTTTTTGTTCAAATCAAAAAGTTCAAACTAACGAACCAAACGAGAGCTTTAATTACTTTTTAGGACTAGCTCCCTTAGACTTTCTTACATGTAGTAGAGTCTCTCGCTATTAGATCTGATCAAAATCACATTAAATTAAAAAAATATACATAATAAACAGTTTTTGATACATATTTAATGACTGAAAAGTAAAAAACTATCATCTGTTTATTTATTTGATCCTATCGAAAAAACTCACTTACTTTTTTTTTTATTTTGACAAAAGAGAAATGAATTATTATTAAAATAGAAAGGAAAAAAGAAAAAAAACACTTGCTCATGGAGTACGTTGTACAAATTAAAACACAACACAAATTTTGATAAACAATATATAATTCCATAAAATTGGTATAAAAAAAAACTTGTGTGCAATATGAATGGACCATTATAAGTTTTAAGAATTCTAAAGAGGGGTATAAAAAATACCCAACAAATAAAAATTCTATCTTGAAACATTTCATTTACATTTTTTGAGTTACGGTGACTTAAGTTCAGATCTTAATTTGAATTAAGGTGTATTTAATTATGGTTTGAGTTGAGACTCTAATATGAGTTTGTGTTTGAATGTGCACATTTTGAGTTATGATTTGAATCGTGAATCTATTTGAGTTTGTGTTTGGGTGGGTCAAAATGGACCTTGAACTCAGGGCTTGTTCTTTTGAAGTAAAACTCAAAAAAAGTTTGAATTCAAATTACAATTTTATTCAAGTTCATGTTCATTTGTAAAATTTGAGTTTGAACTTGAGTTTGGGGTTAAAATATGAGTTCAAGTTTTCCCTTTAACTAAAGTTCTTAAACTCAAACTCAAGTTAATGAATGTTATTTTTTCTATTCTTAAAAACGTCATAACTTTTTCGTTTTAATTCTGATTGAGATGATTTTTTTTCTATGCGTTCACAACAAAGATACAAATAAAATATCACCCATAGACCCTATTAAAATTTTTCATCACCATTGAGTTTTTATTAAAATAATATATAAATACAAATTCAAGTTTTGACCCAGTCAAACACAAATTCAAATAGATTCTCAATTCAAATCATAACTCAAATGTGTACATCCAAACACAAACTCAAGTTACAACTTCAACTCAAATTATAACTCAAATTCAACTCAAGCAACCGAACTTGCCCTCATATTTTAACCCTAAACTCAAGTTAAAACTCAAATTTTACAAAAGAGCATGAACTTGGTAACTTGAGTTCAAATTTTTGTTGAGTTTGGGTGCAAATGAACAAGCCCAAGCTTATAGGAGACTTATGCACAAATTGTTTTACAATTCGAATCATAACTCAAATTATCAGAGTTTTTTATAAAAATTCAAATTTAACTTTTTGTACTATAGTAATTTCTCTCATATAAATTCACTTTTTAACTTAAATTTTCCAACTCGATACGTAAAAAGAACGATCCTTTAGTTTTACACGCGTATATGTGATGTAGATGAAATTTAATGTTAAAAAACATACAGTAACAATAAGGAATTCCTACAATTCTATATCAAGTCATTTTGATTTGATGTTTAATTAATCTTTTACTACTTTAAAAATGTGTGGCTTTCTACAGTAGGATACGTTATCTTTTCCTGCCAATGGAGTAAGTTTTTCTAAGCATTTAATTAAATTTGAATGATCTAATTAATTAATGTTCAAATTAAAAATAATACACTCTACGATATAAGAGTACTGTACTCATACATGAGGTAGTGCACTGTAAAATTTTTCTTTTTAAAAGGAATAATATAAACACCCTATGCATCATGATACATCTACTTTATAAGGACATCTGCAATTTTGAGGCTATAAAATGGGAATTTCTCTGGAATGATCAGAAAGAATGAATTACTAATAATTTTTATTTTTAGTCCTCAAGTCTATAACAAAAATTATTTATTTTACATAAAATTTTAATTAAATATAATTTTAATCAGATTTAATGATTATAAGGACCTACCAAATAAAGTTTCCTGTAAAATTTAATTATTTTACAACAATAAATCCAATGGTTCGCTATCTTTTTTCTATTACAGTTAACTGAATTTAGATTGAGGATGCTGCCTTCAATTACCAAATGCTGCAATTACCCCCACTAACTCACTCTTGTGTGTGTGTGTGTGTGTGTGTATATATATATATATATATATCTTTTAAAAAAAAAAAAAAAACTAACTATTTTGTATGACCATTGACCCACCATCCCTTACCAAATTAATTTGTCAACAGAAGGAAGGGCAATGGTGCCACCTACTTCTGATTGTACACGTGGATCCATCTCCTCCGCTGATGAAAGTCTTAAACTTTTATTTTTCCAACTTTATTTTTAAAAAATTTTGGAGCTGAAAGTCTTTTATGGAGTTTTTTTTCCTTTTTAAATATTTATTTTGGAACTGCAAAAGTCCCACAATGCGCTGTCCCAGACGCTCAGTCCCTCTAGCCCCAAAACCGGTCGGACCGTCACACAGCAGTGAACCGGCTCAAAAATTAAAATTTCGAGTCAAAGATCTAAACTGTTATATTTAAGGTGTGATTATTTATACAACTTAAATTATACGTAAGAAAAAATACTCTAATAAAAAAATTAAATTTAAATTTATGTAAAAAAAATATTGTAATAATATGAGTTATGACTTGAATTATATAAATGAATAAACGCTTAATGATCAATAAATAAATAACCAATAAAAAAATGGAAAACAATTAAGGAAAAATAAGCATAAAATAGTTATCCCAGAGCCAAAAAAACGAGGACAGAAAGGAAAATCTTGTAATTCCAAAAATACTCGCTGTATTAAATTATCGGATTCGAAATCTTTACAATAAAAAAAAAAAAATCTGTTCTTTTGCTGTAATGAACATTAGTTTACAGAGACAACAAGGTGTTTCCATCTTCTTCTTCTTCTTCTTCTTCTTTTCTTTTCTTTTCCTTTTTTTTTTTTTTTTTTCCCTTCCCTTGAAATAAATAATAGAATGGACCATGTAATGTGAAAAGGTAAATACGAGCAAAAGAAAGGGGCAAAACCGTACTTATGCAAACAAACGGGGTCATCTCCACGGTCGCGGTGGGTCACTGTCAAGGGTGTCAACGGTCGACGAAATCACCGGTTGTGATTTGCTCGTCCAAAATCCGCGAGCTTTCTCGACCGGTTCTTGCAAAAAGATGCCGCATTTTTCAGATGTGGCTTGCCTGAAACTCTAGCCTCGCCGGACTTCCCAATCTCCGGTGGTACTCCCTTCTGATTCCAGTGCCGGTGAGGGCTGGCTCTCACCAACGGACTCAGACAGAAAGCCAATCCCGAGACGTTCCTGCTCTGTCCCCGCTTCGACCTCCTCGCCGACGGCGGCGCCACCGTCGGAGTATTCTTCCACCCAGGCGAGGATTCCGACGAGTGTCCGCTTCCCGACGGAGACCGATCGCCGGCGTCTTCGTCGTAGTCGTAGTCGAAATCCGTACCCCTCGCAGGCGACATTCCCCGATCCGTCGTTCTCGTCCGATGTCTGCCTCCGACGGCGGAAGCTTCGACGTAGAACTGAGATTGCATGGACGACGACGACGACCTGTCTCTCCGGCTGGCGAAGATCGCGGAGAACCAAGACGGAGACGGCGAAGAAGTCGTGGCGTACGAATCTCGATACGAAACCCTAGGATCGGACTCGAACTTCTCGGATCTGGAACGGAAAAGGTTGGATAACAGAGAGAACTTGCTTTTCTTCTTCTTGTTGAACGATCCAGAATCAATCGAATGGCCGAAGGTTGGTCCGACCTGAGGAGTGCTATAGAATCGGAGGTGGTGAGGATTCCCGCGGAGGTGATCGTCCGGCTGGTTATGGCTCCACGTGGCAGCGGCGAAACCGTCGGATTTCCTGCGAGAGACGTAGGGAGAGACTGAGCGAGGGAAGGCGAGCGGCGGCGGCGGAGGAGGAGGATTGGGGTCGGACTTGCGAGGATCTTGATCGGCGATGGCGGCGGAGCGTGAGAGAGCTCGAGAAAGCTGGGCCTGTTGATGGGTCTGCTGGGCCTGGGCCTGGGCAGCGATGAGGACGACGAGGCGTTCACGGAGACAGGAGGCGCAGACGCCGACGCGGCTGCTCAGGTCGGAGAGATGCTTTTTGCACCTCATTTACTCGTAACAAGACTCGAATTGTTCAAACTTACCCAAACAGAAAAAAAACAAAAACAACAAAAGAAATTTGAAGGTTTTTTTTTTTTCGCTGTTGTGATGTGGCTAGTAATCGTAGTTCGTGGGCCGTGCCGGCATTTTCTGGGCCTGGTCCCCGCCGCCGCTACCCTTTTTTGCAGAAAACAAAGAGATCTAATAAAATCCTTCCGATGAGAGAAACCCAAAGAGATAGCTTTGTCTTGTTACGAGCTCTTTTAGAGAGAGAGAGAGAGAGAGAGAGAGAGAGAGGGGAGGAGAGTGGGTGGGAGTTTTTATGTGGGAGTGTGAGTTTGTTTGAGCATGCGTGAGTTGGTCTAAATGCCTAATGGCAGGCATTTTATATCTTTTCTTATTAAATTTAGAGAGAGAGAGAGAGGAGAGAAGAGGCAGAGAGAGAGAGAGGAGAGAAGAGACCTCATTTATTTTGTAGATTCGAGTTTTCAATTCGAGTTGAGATGTGATATTTTCAGAGAGTTTTTCACTGTAGCAGAAAAAATTAAATGTGACATTTTTTGAGAATTTTTTACTGTATAAACTTAAAATTGAAAACTCGAATAGGTGAAATGAACGAGGCTTAAGAAGTGAGTCTTTTTTTTTTTTAATTAAGAAGTGGGTCTAGCATTACTTGTTTGGGTTCAGCCTTCAGGAAGATGATTTGTGACAATTTATGGTTTAGCAAATATGATTTTGGAAGCAATTAGCTGTAAAAGTAAAAGCAAAATTATTTTTTTGGGTTTTTGTTTTTGTTTCTCCGGTGGGTGCTATTGTTACATGAGTTGAGATTTTTGGTTAGAGGTTAGAATAAGTTTAGGAGGAAAAGAAATATGTTGATTTTGAGTGTCGACTTTGGAAAGGATGACTTGGGTTTTAATCATTAGGTTGACACAAGTTTTGTTACAAGATAGAATCTTATCTCAGCGCAAGAGTTGCAATTATCTTTGGAACTTAATTCATTTTTTTCCTCTTAAATTGATATTTCTTTTATTGACAAACAAGTGCTAAATTAATGTCAATGTTTTTTTTTTATTAGAGTCAATCCAATATAGTTTTCCTTTGACAATTGAATAGTAGTATTTTTAAATTTTTATAAGAAGTGTTTTAAAATGTTGTCCTTTCGTATTTTTCTCCTCCAAATAATATAATGAAAGTGTTTTTTGTTTCAAAGTCTTGTAAAAGTAAAACAAACAACTTGAAAGGTTATTATGATTGTTTTTGTTGTTGCCACTTACATTTTAATGTAATCAAATTTAAAATAAGATAATCATGGTTTTGAGTGTTGACTTTTGTAGATTGAGTCAATTTATCATATGACTTTTTTTTTTTTTGTAATTTGTTTACCATATGATTGGCTACAAAAAGTGTTGCTTGAAGATCTAAATCCAATTTAAGTGCAAATTCTTGCTTGCATAATTAACCTTCTTTTTTCACTTCTACTACTTTTATCATATTTTCACTACTAATATACTCCTGATTGAAGTTTTACTTTATACGTTTGGTCGACAAGATTTTGAAGGGGAAAGAAAAAGGCAAAAAAGAAAGAAAGGGAAAGGAAAAATAAAAAAATAAAAAAAAAGAGTAAAGGGCTCAAGTTTTCTTGTGGGGTTGAGCTTGGGCTTGGGCTTGAAATTGAAGCTTGGAGGCTCACCGAACCTTGTCCTCTTCTGACCCAATTACTGAATTACTTGCATAAATGTCCTTCGTCGGCAGCGTTACCAGCGACTCATTTCACAAGTGTGTAATAAATGTCCACACCCAAATTTGTACCTCTAAGGCATGTTCTTTTGTCTAAAAAACTTTAAAAAAATAACTCGAGTTTTAATTTTATTCAAGTTCACATTTTTTTAAGTTTTAACTTTATTCAAGTTACAACTTCAATTTAAGTTATAACTCAAATTCAACTCAAAAACTACACTCAAGTTACATTCCAAAAGAACAATTCCTTAAATTTCTCGAGTTCCTTTTTATAATGATCACAACAGGGGGACTTGACAGGATATATTAATAGTACTAGTTTTAGTACGTGCATCCCGTGTATTTAGGTATTATTCAATTCACTGATTCGAATTTATAATTTAAATTTTGTTATAGTAAAAAGTTATCGGAAATAATTACATTTAATTTTTTTACTACAGTAAAAAATTCTCACATAAAATCACATATCAACTAGAATTAAAAACTCAAATCAGCAAACTAAACAGGCCTTTAATTTTAATTAAAGTTTTTATAAAGTAAATTACAAACAATAATAAGCAAGATAATTTTTTATTTAAAGTAGCACCAATAGAAGATAAGGTGCGTGAATGCCGCTTGAGGTGGTTCGGACATGTCCAACGTAAACCGCTAGAAGCACCAGTTCGTGCTTGGGAGGATATTCTTATACCTAATACTAGGAGAGGGATGGGTAGACCAAGAATTACGTGGACCGAAGTCGTTAGGAAAGACATTCTAAATTTAGGCCTTTAGGAAAGTATAATTTCGAATAGAGCCGTGTGAAAAAGTGAAATCCATATAGCCGACCCCAATTAAGTTGGGATTAAGGCTTGTTATTATTGTTGTAAAGATTATAAAAGAGTATACATTAAGTGGTAGTATGATTGTCCTAATGAAAATTGCATACCTAATTTCACCGCAAAATGTGAGCTTTTAATCCCAAAAACATCATAAAAAAAAGTATACGCATACCTAATTCCCCCAAAAAATGTGAGCTTTTAATCCCAAAAACATCATAACAAAGAAGTATACGTAAATAGTAGTTTTGAAAAGATTGTATTTAATTTTAGAAATACAAGAAACAGTTTAAATTATAAGAAAATAAAGTATTAAATAAATAAATAAAAGAGTTAAAATTTAAAAATGAAAAGAAAAAAAAGTAAAACACCTAAATAATTACCGTTTTGAACCATCATAGGATGAATATAAATTATAAAAAAAATAAAGGAGTTAAAACGGAAAAAAACATACCTAAAATTCACTGTTTTAAACAATCATAGGATGAACAATAATCAAATATATGATTAGGATTGGGATTAGGATTTAAGGAAAACAAAAGAAAGAAATAAAAAAGTTAAAAGAACACTAAGAGGGTTAGAACACTAAAAGGGTTATGGAAAACATAAAAGAAAAATAACATAGCACGTCGTTTTTTTTTTTATTTTAAGTTTTTAAAAAGGAAAAAAAATAAAACAAAACTATAAACAAAAAATTGAAATAAGAAAAGAACCAAAACCATTTAAAAAAAAAAGAAAGAAAGAGCCAAGATGACTCATTTTAGAAGATTAAAAAAGAAATAGTAGAGCCGTGATAACTCTTTTATATGTGTAGGATAATAGTTGTCGAGAAAATCGAGAAAAAAATTTAAGTAGGGGCGTATTTTTAGAAATTTATTTTAGTGAGATAATTAGAAAGTAATATTTGAAAAAAATTTAATCGGGATAAATGAAAAAAAAAGTTAAAAAGACGGGTAAGTGCAAAAAATATAAAATTTTAGAGAAGAAAAAAAGGAAAAAGAGAACGTGGGAAGCCAACAAAAAACATAAAAAATAATAAAAAAAATCAAAGCTGTGCATTTGGACAACCAAAACGCACAGTGAAAGTAACTTTTCACTCTTTTATATTAGACCCGTTGAATTGACTTTAAAAAGCTGTCTTTTACTTATTTAGTTCAAATATCACTTTTAAATTATTTTTATGGATAATTTTAAAGTATTTTTGACTTTTTAAGTACTTTTAGAATAAATCATCTCGTGTTTATAAAAAAAAATTTTATTTATATTTTTAACATTTTATTTGTGAATAATAAATTAAATATCTCATTTATATCTTTTTATTATATTATTATTTATAATAATAAATACTTTTAATTTTTTTTATCCAAATATGTACAAAAGCTCTCTTTAAATATAAAGACACAATCTAAATACTAATTTAAAAGTCCCAACTTATATTTATTTTTTTATACTACTTAAAAATATAAGTATAAACTATCCCAAACAGACCCATCATGCAGAAAATCGACTGGCGAGAAAATAGGAGAGGCACTAATTCTATGCGTATTACCATCTCAACTTTATCTCAAATTTCAACAATCTTTTTCACAGGAGTGAGATACTTCACGATGCTTCTCAAGAATTTCTCTCTTTGGTTGGTTTTCTCAAAATTTTTCCTATTATTTTGTAAGTTTCACTACTAGAATTGTACGTTAAACAACAAAAATACGGTTTCTATTACTTAAAAACAATCTTCTAATATCTTTAAAAAAATCACGACATGAACACTCTAATACTTTGAAATGTCTTTTTTTTTTTTTTGGCGAATAATCGTCTAATGTTTGGCATTCAACGATTATTCCTTAATCATCTAACGTCCCAATAAAATAGCCCTAGAACAATCTTTTTTTTTTGGCGAAGAAATTCAGGCAATTATATTTTAAAAAAATTTAGGCAATTGGTCAATAGATTATTAAGGACGCATTTGGAACTCGTTCTAAAATAATTTTATTCACGAGTCTGAGTTTCTGAAACTCGAACCCGTGAGATTGTAGTCCTAGCCCCAGCCATACCCTTTGACATAAATAAAGTGTGGATAGATAGTCATCATAATCTTGACATGCAAATGGTGAATTTAGACTCGTCAAATTGGTCATGCTCTACACTGAATATCGCTTTGTGATCATCTAAACACGTTGGCTCTTTTATTTTCTTGATTTTATTTAGTTTTACAATTTACGATTTAAAAGTTTCGCATTATTAATGGCTAAAATAATATCTAAATAGTACTCATTGAAGTTATTTTTTGATATTTTAAAAACTTTGATTAATTAAAGGGTAAATTTATTATTATTTTTTTAAAAACGTAGGGAATAATTTTGAGATTGTTTAAAAATATAAGGGAACTTTTTGAATTATAAGAAATTTAAGGGTAAATACAAAATTTAACTAAAACTCAGGGATAATTTTTTGATTGTCTTCTCAGAAAATCATTTTTCACAACCTTTGTACAATTCTCTTTTAACAAAACTTCAGGCAAAAGTCTTAAAAAAAAAGAAGAAATTCAGGCAATTATATTTTAAAAAAATGTAGACAATTGGCCAATAGATTATTAATGACGCATTTGGAATTCGTTTTAAAATAATTTTATTTTTTGTGTGAAAATAAAAATAAAAACGTTTTCAATCTCATACAGAAATCATTTTTGAAAATACGTTTGGTAGTTTTATCAAGAGATTGTTTTTAGTATAAAAGAACTCATTAATGTCTCGCTCTCTGTGTGTGCTCGAGAGAGGAGACAACAAAAACAAAAAATGAAAAAACGACTAGAAGTCGTTTTTCATTTTTCTCTCATTTTATACTAAATCAAAAAATCTTTTTCATTTCTGTTTTTTATCTTTATTGCGCTAAACGCTGTTTTAGAAACGTTTTTTTTTAAATGTGAAAAATAAAAAAAGAAATTAATTATAAATACGGCCTAAAAGGTTTTATATATTTAAATTTAAATAATTAATTATGTTTTTTTTTATAAAAAAATTAAATTAAAATTAAGAATAATAAGTATTACGTTTAGAACGGGTCCTAGACTGCTCCAGCGGTGAAATGTGAATCCAAGAAGGAATGGAGAAAGGAAAAACCAAAAGGGGAAAAGGGAGACTAACCTCTTCATTAGTTGACTAATAACAAAAGTAAATTTTTTAGTATATACACCACCAAAAACACACATTACTCTGTCCGAATCTGATCAAGTTTCCAAATTCGGAGACTAATAAAAATTCCCATTTTCTACACTTCACCACTCATTCTTCCTCCTCTTCATCTCCCATCTTCTGCAGAAGACTGAGAGGAAAAATGGAGCGTCGTCGTCCCTGCTGAGACGCCTGAAGCACAATAGCTTCCTCTGCAATCCTCTCAATGCGCAGACCAGATCCTTCACCACCACGGAGGGTCACCGTCCCATCATCGTCCACAAGCGCAGCCTCGACATTCTCCACGACCCCTGGTTCAACAAAGTAAACTCCCCATCAACAAATTCTTTTTCGTTTTCGTTTCGCTTTTAGAGCTGAAAGTCGTTTCGAAACTATTGCAGTTTTTGCTTCATTTCTCTCTGAAATTTCGTAATTTTTGTTTTGATTTCGGAATTAGGGAACGGCTTTTACGATGACGGAGCGGGATCGTCTGGATCTTCGAGGTCTTCTCCCTCCCAATGTTATGTCTACGGAGCAGCAAATTAAACGCTTCAGTAAGTTCTCATTGTCCCAGTTTTTGTTCTGTGTCGTTGTTTTTTTTTTCTTTTCCATTTCTTTTACACTAGTAAATCTTAGGGCCCGTTTGGAAGGTGGTTTGAATCAGAATTCAAATTTTCTTGGAGAAAATACTGTAACAGAACTTTTTAAATTCAACTTTTTTTGTGAGAGAAAGTGCTGTTTAAACATGGTTTGAACCCATCCTCCAAACGCACCGTTAATATCAGTCCAGAAATTTGTTGTTTGGTGGTTAGCTGTACCATAATTCGTGAGATATAAATAATTAACCGTATGCTGTCGGGGTAGATTGGTTTCTTATTGGTATTTAGAGTGCAATACAGTGTTCTTTTTATTTTTTTATTTTTTTTATTTATTAAATAACATTATCAAGTCCAGCAATATAACAGTTGAAATGTGTAAATGACAGTGGTTGATTTGAAGAGGCTTCAAGTGCAAGCGAGAGATGGACCTTCTGATCCATATGCTTTGGCAAAGTGGCGGATACTTAATCGGCTACATGATCGAAATGAGACAATGTACTATAAAGTAAGTTAAACTAATTCACTCTTTTTCTGCACTCTTTTTATTTAGGGTAATTAGTACTAGTAGCATTCCCATTTCTCCATCCTGCAATGGTTTTCTTTTTAGTTTGCCCAATCTTACCTTGTGCGTGGTTTTTATAGCTTGGAATATTCTTTTCTGTGATCATATGTAGGTCCTAATATGATGTCTTTGGATTTGACAGGTTTTGATTGCTAACATTGAGGAATATGCGCCAATAGTTTATACTCCGACAGTAGGTCTTGTTTGTCAAAACTACAGTGGTTTGTTTAGAAGGCCCAGGGGAATGTACTTCAGTGCCGAAGACCGTGGAGAGATGATGTCTATGGTTTATAATTGGCCAGCTGATCAGGTACAACTTTGATTGTAATCATGCTTATATGTTTGTACATAATCCAAGTCTCAATTCCTACTTAATTTGGCATCTTCTAATATCCGCTGTGTTTCTCTGTGTTGTATATCTATTTCTGTATTTCCTAGGTTATTTGTGAAATAACTCATGTCTAGGTGAGGCATGCTAGATGCATAAAGTTGAAGACGTTTGAATATATATCTTCATAAAGTAAGGCATATGGATCCCATACTTTACGGTTTAATTTCATGAATGATCTATTGGGACTACACCCATGCATTAGAAGTGCAAAAGCATATTTTTGCTCTCTCTTGTAGCCATCTTGTGCTGGTGGGTGGTTTTGATTGAGCGATTGAAACGTTAATACTCTTGTTTTATTGTTTATTTCCATTCCATATTGAATGTTGGGTTTCTCATTTGCAGGTGGATATGATTGTTGTTACAGATGGAAGCAGAATATTGGGTCTTGGAGACCTTGGCATTCAAGGAATTGGAATTGCAATTGGGAAGCTTGACTTGTATGTAGCTGCTGCCGGGATAAATCCGCAAAGGGTACTGTCTTTTCTTGCGTTACTTTTGTATTATAAATGTGTTCTAATGAGATAACTTTTAATAACTTCCATATGCTTTAGAATAGATTATTTGAATTCCCAGATACATGTCTACAAATATAGTTTCTCATAATTTTCTTACAGAATATATGTTTGATGTGAAAAGCTTTGCTTGATTTGATATTGGACTACTATTAGATTGTTTAAGAATTCAACTTGACGTAAGACAAATGAAAATTTAGTTAACTGGAAATTATACCAAAAATAAAAGAGAGAAGAAGAAAAAGAATGTATCTCACCCTGTTACTTCTGTACGGCTGTTGCATGTGGTAAATCCCTATTATGGAAGTGGTGAAAGAAATCTCCCTAGCTTGGTACAAAATTAGCCCGGAAACATTGCTTCTAGTTTATATGTGGAATATCAATTTTCTTTCTTTTTTGGATTTCTTCTAATGATTCACAATTCATTATGGTCGTTTAGAACGTATAATATTATTTCTGCTTTTCCTGCGGCTTGACCCAAGATCCTGATCTAGGCGTGTTTTACTTACTCTTACCTTTCTGTTCTGCACTCATTGAAACTACTAGTAAAAATCTTTCTTATTCTTCACTTATTGCACTTCTTGCAACTCCAGGTACTTCCTGTCATGATTGACGTTGGAACCAACAATGAGAAGTTGCTGAAAGACCCCTTATGTACGTATTTCCTCTTGTAATCATGGTCAATATACTTACAAACAGTGTTTTCTATGAAAAAAGTATAATGAGTTTTTGGTTTTCAGATCTAGGATTGCAGAAAAACCGTCTTGATGGTGATGAATATCTTGCTGTCATCGATGAATTTATGGAAGCAGTTTTTACACGGTGGCCCCATGTTATTGTACAGGTACATTAAATTACCTTAGCGATTGAATCAACATTTGAAAAATGTATAACTTTTTTTCTCTTCTTGAGAACTACTAATTCATTCTGTTTGTGAAGTTTGAAGATTTCCAAAGCAAGTGGGCCTTTAAGTTATTACAGCGTTACAGAAATACCTACAGAATGTTTAACGATGACGTTCAGGTTAGTTACTTGCTCCGGTATACATCATAGCATATAACCATTTTTGTAATATTTTTGTGTATTAGTTTATCCCGTGCAGTATTTATATGGTAATTCAACGACACTTCTGTTTATACTTGACACTAATATAGCCAAGTATCAAGTTTATTTCATTAACTAAGACCAGTATTGCTTTCATTCAGCTCCTAATTTGACATCCTTTTAAGATGGCCAACCTTATTTCTCTCTATATCTTCTTTTGTATTCTTTTTTCCTTTTTAGATGGCCAACCTTCTTTCCTCTTCTAACGCCTCATCCTACTAGCGTTAATTTTGAGAATTTGCATTAATCACTTCAAACTTTTAATTCCTGGACTCGGGTCTAGTTTTGTGCATCCTATATTCTCATTGGGGATTCTATTCTATTTATCAATTATTAAGGAACTATGTATAAGCAGAGACACAAACGGTTAGACAAACAGTCCGTATTGTATTATCATACGTAGAGCGGTCAAGAACATTCTAGATTGGATTTATGGGGATATACTTGTTTTTCCATGATCAAGATGCGATGGCATTTGTTCCAACAGGGCACAGCAGGAGTTGCAATTGCTGGACTTCTAGGAGCTGTTAGAGCACAAGGAAGGCCAATGATTGATTTTCCAAAACAAAAGATTGTTGTTGCTGGGGCTGGAAGGTTAGTGTCATTATTTGTATTTCTAAATGGAAAGAGTTCATAATATGTAAAAACAAAGGGAAACAATATCAGTAGTTGATGTTCACCAGAGCTAGAAAGTCATACCATTGGATTATTAGTATTCCCAAGAATTTAAGAACCAACATTGTTCTTTACAAGAGAAGATAAAATATGAAAATGAACAGGATACAAAAAATGAAAAAAAATTTGAAAATTTTGTATTTATCTTCCTATTGAAGAAGAAACACACGCACACACAAACTTCGAAGTTCAGAGAGTGATTGCTCTTGCTAACTTTTATGTTTGTGTGTACACATGAAGTTTATTTGAATAGGGAATAGTAATATGATTTAAAATGTACATTACCCATGTGCTAAAAAAATATATGCATGAGTGGCCGTTTTTGTAATGGGGATCTGTGAGGGATTGTTGCATGAATTATATTATAACCAACGATGAAATTTAGACAAATGTGTATATCGGTAAACCAGGCAAAATTCAAGATGGTTGGTTTGAATGGGTAATTTAGTGCAATGATCTATTAGAACTAAATGCAACACTGCTAAGATGCACCTTTTACTCATCTACTTTGTGCTTCTCTAAGGACTAGCAAGCCAAATAATGCCATTCATGACTTATTTAAGATATTGCTCTGAACTAAGGAAAGCAATATGCTACATTTCGAATGTTTTAATGAAGTTCTGTTTTTTTTATTTAAAAAATAAAAAACCTGTAGAAAACGTATAATAATATATACTATAAAAAGGAAACCAAGGGATGCATGTTTATCAATACAAGAAGAAATCAAAAAAATCATAAAGTTTTGATGAATCGTAAAGTTTTTGGTTAAATTTTGTTCTGCTGTCTACTGCAGTGCAGGAATAGGGGTTCTTAACGATGCAAGAAAAACAATGGCAAGGATGTTGGGAAACAATGAATCTGCTTTTGAGAGCGCGCTGAGACAATTTTGGGTAGTTGATGCCAATGTGAGTAGTCAGACTGAACATCCCAAATCTAGAAACGGTTATGAAAAAAGCTTCATAGGGTTAAATTTTTGCTTCTGATATATAAAGATAGGATAAAGTATTTCTTCAAGATGCATGACACATGCCGTTTATAATCTTAGAGGCAGAAGATGAGGTTTTCCTGTTCATATTGTTTATTCTATGTTTAGGAGTTTATGATGCTTTTTGAGAATATCATGATTCATGTCTACGAATTAATTGTAGTAACAAATTTAGTACCAAATATATTAGGATCTGACTAGTCGGTTGGTTAGATACACATGTAAGTGGGTTTCTTATATTTTCTCGTTGTTCCTTTCCCGATCTGATATTTTGAAGAAAATACTAACAATGTGATGTCATATGTTTAAAGCGCACTGTACACAACCCCTTGAATGCAGGGCATTTAACTTTGAATTCCTGGTTGGTATACAAAAGTGTTGTTATGAAACTACAAGTCCTTATTCAAGAGCATCCGTAGTTGACTTCTTGTTTGGTATTTATAAGAGTGGTTCTTCTTGTCTTCATCCTGAACTTAAACTTTTACTATCACCCTTAGGATATAGAAGATCATAACATGAGTGATTCAACAGATTCCAATTAATGATGAAGATCAAGTTTGTAATTCCTTTTGTTCATTATATACAAGTGATGAGCCTAGTTCATGCTTTATATCCGAACTAAAGGAATTTCGGTATTGGGATTTTTTTGACAGCCACCCTTACTTACCATACCTTTCGAGATATGCTCAACCAGATAATTAAATTTGCTGTGATGTGTATCCAGGGTCTGATCACAGATGAACGTGAATATATTGATCCTGAAGCACGTCCATTTGCGAGGAAGATCAAAGAAATTCATCGTCAGGGGTTAAGTGAAGCTGCAAGCCTAGTGGAAGTGGTTCGTGAGTTCTTCACATTTCATATTGAACTACTATATAGATCAACATGTCATTTCGTTCTGCACATAAAATGAAGGTTTTCGTTTTTATTTTCAACGTTTATGCAATAGAAATCTAGTACAGCCATCTGGATTTTTGCCTGTAAGTCCAAGTAAGACTCAAGTGGGTAGGTAATAAATATGTTGGTTATACCTTTTTTTTGGCTCCAAAAATGTTGGTTATACCTTCTTCAGTCTTGATAATGTATAGTGGGAAGAAAAAAAAAACTGTGAAACACCATAGAGGGAACCAAATTTCCAAGAAGTAAAGTTCAAAATTAGAAGAAATGATATGAAGAAAAGGAAGTTTAAGTGTCAAAAGTGTCATCCACAAGAACATCAATTTTAAAAAATTGCCTTAGCGTTCAAAAGTTAGCAAATATAAGAAGTTGTATTCAAACAAATCAAATACAGCAAATATCATGCGAAAATGACATAAATGTGTGGTTATCAAAGTGTGAATTGTGCAAAATTTTTCGTTAACAAGAGGTGATTCTTTTAAATGTATCAAGGACTGTTTTCTTATCATCATAAAGAACAGTCAAGCCCGCTTTTATCCGTATTTGTCATCACTTCTTGGTAATCTTGATAACCAGGTGAAGCAAATAAAGCCTGACGTGCTTCTTGGATTATCTGCGGTTGGGGGACTGTTCTCAAAAGAGGTATCTAGAGTAATAGCTATGCATCTGTTTTCTAAATTTCTTATAGAGAGCTTCTGGAAATGTAAACAAGATAAGTTCATGCATTGCATAATTAATGTGATTCACGATGCAAAAAAATCAAGAAAAAGCAAACATAAAATTAGTTGAATCATGAATCATTTTCTTTTTTGTACTTTTCTTATTTCTGGTTTAAATTGGTAACTAGAAGAGCAGTTAATGGAGGAGAATTACATGACAAAAGGTTATGTAACCTCGGTTTTTTATCGCTCATCTTATTGTTGATAACCTTTGTTTTCTCATTGGAACTGGATCACATATTCTTTCTTACAAATTGACGCCATGCAAATACTTTTAGGTATTGGAGGCCCTCAAAGGTTCAACTTCAACCAGGCCCGCCATATTTGCAATGTCAAATCCTACCAAAAATGGTATGTTTTGCTTTTGAATGGGGAGAAGCACTGATTTGGTAAATTAATGCAAGCTTTGTAGGGTTTAAGATTAATCTTCACTCTTTTCTTTTGGTGATAATTTAGCTGAATGCACTCCTGAAGAAGCATTTTCTATCGTGGGGGACAATATTATATTTGCAAGTGGAAGTCCATTCAACGATGTGGATCTTGGTACGCATTTAAAACTTCATATCCTATTCTCTGTGCATATCATTTCTGCGTGAAAGGGATACAAATAGAATCCGTTTTTTCCCCCTAAATTAATTTTTCTGTTCTCTTTTGGGTTTGTTGAAAGCCAAAGGTTAGTAGTAACTGCAAGGGTGGTTAGATTGTACTCATCAAATGATTGTACAAGGTGCGGGTGGTTAGTTGAAAAGAATGAACGGCATAGATGAAAATATAAGGGATTGTATAGTGTTTGAGGAAACAATTTAGGATGCTGGATGGATAAAAATTCACCTTTGTTAATAGTGTTGAATTTTTTTCTTTTTATGATATAATAACAACTG